TTAGTCTAGTCCGAGCTGCTCCCCACAGTGACTATGTGTTGTGCATGTAGGTAGAACAAGCGGAAAGAACAGAGAAAGGAGCTGCTTAGATTTTTGCTGATTTTCTAGTTCCCAATTCCAGTCTCTCATGAGAGCAGTGAACTTTTGGCCTTCAGGTACTAAAACACAACCTTTGAGGTAAGTTCATATGAGGCTCTGTTTCTGCCAAACAATCAATACCAATTCATGTCACCTCCTCTCAACTAAATACAGGTGTTCACAATTTTGCAAGGTCAGAAAGTCTAAGGCTTAAAATGGTAAAGCACCAGAGTGGCATTGACTTTACATATACACTTGAAAGAGAAAAATATGTCCCATGCCTGTGTCCTTCCCAGGAGATTATTCTTCAATGGAATTCGCAAGAGGTCCAAGTACCCTCAGGACGGTAGTTTCGTGACCACACTTTGAGAAGCGCTGCTTAGCCTGCCTGCTTCAACCCTACCACAAAGATCTGTATTCTTTCAAATGCTTCTCTCGGAAAAACTGATATTCATCAAGTGCCAGCATGCAAAAGTAGCAAATGACAGTTGGAAAGATAGATTTATTTGAGTCCCTAATAGGAACAAGTACTGTTTCTATTATTCTTTCTGCATATATTTTTGTGTTTCGTTTCCCATTAAATAGAACAGTGTAAAATAGCTTGGAGGGCCAAAATACAATTTATGATGTTGTTTCCAGCCGAAAATGAATTTAAACTTCCACAAAGCTAATTTGCAGTCTTTTGAAACATAACCAGTTTGTAATTTGAAGACTTTATGTGCCATTCCAATGGAGAAAATTTGATTATGGATGGTTTTAGATGATACCAAGGAATTATTGTTATTTTTGTTAGGGCATAATGACATTTGGGTTATTTAAGAAAAACACATTTTTTTCAGAGATACAAATAAAACTAGGTAGGGATGCAATGACAGACCATACAAGATTTAATTCAAACTACTTCAAGAAAGAAAATAATTTTTTATAAAATGAACACATGAAGTAAATGAGGTGAAAGCTCAATCATTTGACTCTGGAGACATGAGAATATGGGGAAAGAATTTCTTTATTTCTACTTCTGAGAATATTAGGGAAAGGAGCATATGCGATGTCAGTTAATGTAACAGCCACACAGGATTCCTACAGGATCACATATGATGTACAGCTTGAGCACAGACAAAATGAGATAACTACTGACATCCCAGAAGAAAGACGTAAGAGGCCTTTAATTTGGGGGACAGAGATCTACTTATCCTCTGCAAATTCCTAACATAGTTGAGGGGGAAAATATCATAGACAGAGCCTATGGAAAACTAATTTCTTAATTATTTAGAAGATATATTTTATTTTTCATAGTAATAAATCATACTTGACAATATAACCTATTACTTCATCATTTTTATGCCAATTGTAGGGAGATGGAAAGGAAAGAAGAGGAAAAAACACGAAGAGATAGTGATATTTCAGGAAGGGGAAAAAACAGAGACCCTGAGTCCTTAGATGAACACTTACAAGGGCCTTTGAAACCCCTGCTCTTATTCTATTAGGGGCCAAGTTGAAACTAACAACACCAACACACATTCACTACTGGTACTACTCTATGCTCCTCGCTTCCTAAACAGGGACTGTTAAAGCCTTAAGAAATTCATCCCTTGGATCCTGGCTGTGCTGCCATCAGCCACAAGGTGTTGCTTACACTCATTTTAAACATTTGTTTGAAAAGATCACTATACTGGATAATCTAAAAGCCCTTCCCAACTCAAATACCCCATGGCATAGTTTTCCACTACTTTGTGTTTTAATCTTCAGAATCCTAAGAGACTTTATTCTGAATTAGTTATACTGCATGGTCCCAGGAGGCAATTGACACTGTGTCCAAGCATAAAAACTTCCTCCAGGTTGACAAGCATGAGACAAAAACTGATTCTGCTTCCAGGATTACAGCTCTGTTACTCTTTCCTTTTCATCAAATAATAGATGTTTAGGGCTTATTGTTAAGGGAAATTTCCTAGTAAATTTCTATCTGAAATTAACATATAAAGATAACATATAAATGCACAATTCAATTCATTTTTAATACAAGTGACTTTTGTGAACCAAGTATATATAGAGAAAGGTTACACTTTAAATCTGTTCTATTGGTAAACACAAAGACATATGGCTAGAGAATATTTCTGGCCAGCAATATAAAAAGAGGGAGAGGGGATAAGGAGTATGGATTCTCTCTCATTCTAGCTCTCATTTTAAACCAGTAATACTGAAAGCCTACAGTGCTGCATGCTTTGGGACATTTTATTTGTGAAAACAGATAAAGCATATCCTATTTGCTGCTTCAATATGCTTTACCTTTCATGCATTATATAGCCATTTCAAATTGTAAAAAAAAAAGAAAAAGAAAAAATATTCATGGTTTTTAAAGAGATTTTTGACTGTGGTTTTGAAGGGCCAGATGAAATTTAACATTGTAGTCTGGATTCTCTCAAAATTCCTGGTCATTTACTTATAAATAGCAAATATACTTCTTCACTTTTTCTATCAGCAGTAAAGAATTTACTGAAATGATCAGATGGTTAAACAAAACAAATGAAATAAAATATAAAGAAATAGACATCTTCTCCTGTCATGTTTCAACCACAAACAATATTCATAAAAACCTGTCATATCCAGTCACTTATGCCATCTCAGCTGAAGGTTAGAGATAATTGGGCCAGGCAGACCATCTTATAAAAGGAGAAATGTGTGTCACAAAGATAATGAGATTAGAGAAATTACTGACTGACAGAGTCATCTATTCTCAAAATCTCTCTGATTCCAAAGAGTTGAGGATATACAAAGAAATGAAAACTAGGGAATCTGTTCTAGATGCAAAGTCTAGGAGGAAGAGAAAGGAAATTTCAAAGAAAGTAAACAGAAACTTTCCTCTTCTGCAAAATTAGGATAGCCTTCCCTTCATACAGACCCCAACCCTTGGGCCAAGGAAGAGATCCACAAGAATGGCCATTTTAAGGTGGGCACAACCCCCTGGAACTGGTCCTCACAAGCTAGGCCAAGACCCTCTGTTCAGGAGGCAGCACAACTCTCTATGTGGGTACAGTACTCTCTGAGAAACTCCCTATAGACACAGGACATATGGCCAGCGCAGAAAATGACTGAAGTCAATAGCAGCATCTCACCATTTTCCCAGTTTCCAATGCGCTAAACATGATCTGAAGAAATACCCTCATTCTCCAGGTCTTCCTCTAGTCTGAGGACCACATACACTTAGGCACATCCTTCTCTTTTTTTCTTCCAGTGTTGATGTATATTTATCAACACACGTTCTCACTCTTCTGTCCAGTTAACACATCTCTTAGTCACAGGCATTCTGGTAGTGTCCACTCACAGAATTAAGGTGAGAGTCAGCTGACACCTCTCTCCCTCTACATCTCTTACCCTATTCATCTCCCATTCCCTATCTTAACCCCAAAGAAAACCCCACTTCAGGAAACACTCCTTGAATGGCATTTTTGCTCAATTGGGTGCCATAGTGCCTAGAATGTTGTGAATAACATAGCAGACACTCTATAATTAATGAAATTATCTACTGAATTTCCCTAGATGACTATATGTCATTATCAGATATCTCCTTTTCCCACTACGGCATGCAATCAAATCTATTAACCTTCCTTCCAACTTACAACCTCACCCAAAAGGAAAATCTCAAGTGGCTTATGACAGTAGGGCTGTTTTTTACTTGGGGTTTGACTTTAAACCTCATCCTGATAGCAAATCTTTCAAGAGAATCTCTTCTTCGTCTATCTTCCCAACCAAATGTATAGGCGCATCCCTTACAGGTTGGCCTCCCCTATCAAAGATGCCAACTCAGAATATTCCCATGCACTTGAAGAGTAACTCCCTCCAATCCTTATGCAAAACACATGCACCACTTAGATTTCACCTCCCAAAAAAAGTATATATACCAGACTTCCCTACAAGCACAAATCCTCCAGTTTCTATTACTGTGAATTAGGAAGAAATCATCTACTTCCTAGGTTATTTCTTCCATTTGTAAAAATATAAACACACATTGTTGAAGCCATCAAAGGTAACAGAGATGTGGAAAAGGGAAAGAGAACAGTAGGTGGGGAAAATGACGAACTGTCTTCTCCTCATTAGACCCCTCTTCACGGGTACCTGGTTGCCTACATCTGTCACTTCTACTCCAATAAAAACAAGGAGAATTTTTGTAGCAAAATTTCTCTTTATTTTGCTAGTTCAAAACTGGGAGAAAGTGTATGATGAGATGAATTATGCTAGAAAACCTTATTTTTATTGTTCATGAATGCATCATCATGATTTATCTCTTTTTGGTTGCTTGGTTCTTAAAATCTTAATTGCTGAAGTAAGTCCAAAACATCAGAAAAACAAAGTCCACCTTCTGACCATTACTTACAGGTCATCTGCCTTCTGTGCACAAGCCTCCAGACTGAGGCATTCACTGAAATGAAGAAGACATATGCAGTCCTAAACTCCAATTGCCTGTGCTACAGATTCACAGTAACACTTGCCTGAGCAAATGAGATTGACTTTGAAAATACAAATGATTACACAGGCTAAGAGAAATGAGCCAAGCCTTTTCTTACCCCATCACCACTTCCCCACTCCCTTCCAAGCCTTGACTTAAAATTGATACTCTATCGTCACTTAATGCTCTCCCTATTCACCTATTCAGCAAATGATAAAAACTCCCAGACGCTGCACTTTGCATATACTCACGTTCTCTTTTAACCCATCCCAAGAGGTAAGCTTTAACATTCCTGTTATACAGCTGGGAAAACTGAGGCCCTAAAATTAAAAGCAACACCAGAGGACTGTGCCAGTCAGTGAAATGATTAAGATTAGCCCAGGCTAATCCTTTGTTAGTACTGTAACTTACTGGAATTCATCAAAGACCTTATGGATTTAGAACACCTAAAATCGTTAAAAAGTTTAGCAATGCATACCTGTTTTTTCCTTGAATTTGCTTTGGGAAAGAGGCCTGCTGACAACACAGATGTAAATGGAGAACAGCAGAGCTCAGGAAAGGGGTTTGGAATAGATGGCGTTTCCAGAACATCAAGATCTTTCTTTTTTCTCCTACAGCAAGAGAACATAGGATGTAATTTACATAGAACGGAATGTAAAAGACAAACGCTGTCAGCATTAAAAAGTGCATGAAGGCCAACACACAGCACTCAGCGATGACGCTAATATTACATAAAGTAAACAGAAGAGGTCCGTGCTGCCCTTTCTGTGGGTAAAAATAAAATATGTTAACTGACAAAAATAAATCTCTTATAGTATTCCTATCTTTTTTAGGGAAATGTGCGGGACTTCGAATAAGTCACCAAGCATGGAAACTCCATGTTCAGCACTCCTGTAATTTTCCTGAGGCAGAAATGTGGATTGTGTAATTATTAATGCAAAGAAAATCCTGAGGAGGTAGACACTGCTGCGAATCCGTGCAATGGACAAAGTCCCTAAGTTACACCGAGTGAATTCATCCCTATGATATTTTACTAATCACTTCTGGAAGTTATGATCTATTAATTATAGCTTTGGTTCATCTCACTTCAAATTCCATTCACAATGTTGCCCACACACAGTCTGTTGATTTTTCAAGTGCTCAGAGACACTCAACAGCGAGGCAGTGTTTTTGAGGAGGTAAGTTAACAGAACTTGCTGGTATAAATGTACTCTAGTCCACTGGAGAGTAATGTTAACTTCACAGAAGTTGGAGCACTTTGAAAATCTGGGGGGGAAAAGTACCATTTCAATGTATGAATACAAAGGACTACAGACTTTGGTATTGTTCTAGCGGGTTTTCTTCCCTGAAGTACGTGCAACTCTGAAGGCACTTAGTGCTAAATGCTATGGAGATGGGAAAACCTTTCAATGCCTCTATTCTTTTCTGCTGAGCGGCAAGACTGCTCAAATGTCAATCCATGCTTTGCTTCCTCGCCGGGGTCTTTCTAAGACTCTAGGGGGGAAGTGAACTCATTTATGCTACGATTTTTTTTAATAATAAGATTTTTTTTAAATGCAGGGTCACGCAGAAGGGGCAGAGGGTAATGAACCTTGAGTCCACTCTTCCCACCACGCTGCTCCCCGCCCCCCGCCCCGCTCCACACAACTCCCTGCAGATCACACGGATGGGCAAAGGCGAGAGAGACCACGAGCTCTCAATGAAACGGTGATGCTATTTATAAGCTGTGAGATCGCAATGTCCTGTTGATCCGGCAGGAGCCAGCTCCAAGAGAATTGTCTTCGGAGACTTTCTCTAACTTGGCCCAGCTCTGGGCACATGGCTCACCTCCTAGGACCGCCTCCTCACCCCCTCGCCCGCTGCCAAGCCAGGACACTCCCCCGCGCCCTCCGAGGGCTGCCTACCTGTCTGCAGCACAGCCGCGGGTCCCGTCCGGAGCCGGCACCAGAGCTCGCGCGTGCAGCCAGGGGGCCCGCGCCGGGTCGTGGGCGTCGTCCCTTCCCTGGGCAGCGCCGCACACCTGGGCGGCCAGCGGCGAGTCCCGGGCAGCCGCCCTGTCCGCGGCGCTCTGCCCATCTTGCAGGGAAGTGGTCATGGTTGCCGGCCCGGGGGCTCAGGCGGCATGGGAGCCCGGGCGCCTAGGCTGCGGGGTGTCGGGAGGCGGGAGGCGGGATGCCGGCTCGGCGGCCCGAGCGCCCTGCAGGTGCGGTGGCCTGGCCGCCTGCGCTCCGGCCCCGGCGGCTCAGCAGCTCGGCTGAGCAGTCTGCGAGGCGGCGGGGGAGGGGAGGGGGCGGAGGAGGAGGGTGGGGAGAGGGGAGGAGCGGCCGGTGGGTGGGGGCCGCGGGCGGCGGGGCGAGGCGCGGAGGGGGCGGGGAGGGCGCGCGCGCGGCGGCCCGGCCCGCGGAGGGGCCCGGCGCGCTCGGGGGAGGTGTCGTCGGTCCTCGGCAGCCCGCCCCAGGACCTCAGCTCGCCGCTGCTCGGGTGGCCCCGACCGCCGCCTCCCCAGGTGGGCGCCCTAGTGCCAGGCTAAGCCCGGGCCAGGGCGGGCCCAGCGCTGCTCGAGGCAGGCTCCAAGCGGAGCCCGTGCTCCCCGCACGGCTTGCCAGGCGGAGCGGAGCGGAGCGCGCCGGCGAGGCAGGGGTTCGGGCAGCGCTGACTCTCAGACTCTTCCATTCTTCCAGCTCTGCGATCTGAGATCACCTAAGCTGTCTCTGGGCCGCCATGACAGGCGCTACCGGGCCAGGAGGCCAGGGGTCCACGGGGCCAGGTTTGCCCTGGTCCGTCTCCAGGTGCCTCTTCATGCACTCTGAAGCCAAGGATTGGGGCGCGGCGTGGGGAGAGGAGGGAGAGAGAGCAGGGAGTACGCTCATAGACAACTACTGAGATTTTGAGACTCCTCAGGAAGTCATGAGTAAACCAGGAGGGGTCTGGAACTGGAAAGATTATTTTCTTTTCATGAGAGCAGTTTTCATTTCATGAGTCCCTACTCTGCCTTTTCCCATCCCAGGCTCACAGCAGCTCCCGAAATTAAATACGTACCTTATTTTGCGCATCAGGAAATGGGGGCTTCACACAGAGTACTAGTAACTGATGCAGTCAGGATTGCAACCCAGAAGCACCTTCTCTAAGACCTGGACCGCTTGGAATGGTAATGACCTCACGTGCAGCCGCCTCCGAAGTTCTGGGCGATAGCTGTTCCTGCTCTTCCCACACCTGACCATATCTCCACGCACTGCTGAGCGTTTGCGAATGTTTTACACACTCTGTTCTTTCACCAAATTAGGTAACGTCTGTCCCTAGCATCTGTTTCACCAGTTTGTCTTAACCTCCGCAGCCTCTGTCCAGGGAAAAGCAAACGCCGCCATCCTGAAGAGATGGCAACCCGTGCTGCCATGTGGGCTTATGTAACCCCCTGCAGTGCCCGCATCTCATATGGGCTCTGGCTTGAGTCCGGGCCGCCCTGCTCTCCATCCAGCTCCCTGCTAATGCTCCTGGGGAAGTGGCGGAAGCTTGGGCCTCTGCACCGGAGACCTGAGACCTGGAAGAAACCGCTGGCTTCCACCGGCCCCAGCCCTAGTGGCTATTTGAGGAGTGAGCCGGCATATGGATGAGCTTTCTCTCTACCCCTCTCTTTGTAACTCTGACTTCTAAAAAACTGCATCTTTTTTAAAAAGAGAGAGAGATGGCAACCCACACCCTCATCTCTGCGTCCCCTTCTCCACCGGGACACCCACCACTGGCTGTATCTAGGAAGGGTGTAACTCCCAGCAGGTAAGGAACAGGGGATATCCCATGAAGAAAGAAAACCTTTGAATCAAGGAGTTTATGAAATCCAAGTTATTCTTTTTTCCAAATGTCAAAGTAAAGGCCCAGAAAATGGCGGGTGTGTCCTGGGTGTACTCTCCAAGACGCTTTATACAATGCAGTGGCCAAGCCAGGACACAATGGTGGCGCCCCTCAGGGATCTAGTTAATACTAATCACCAGGATAGCCAAAATTTATTGATGCTCTGTGCCAGGCAGAGCCCTCATTCATATCTAATTCTCTGAATTATGGTCTGGATTCTAAGCACAGGTTGTAAATGAGTTTAATGTGAAAGTATACAGTTATATTGTGGTCACTCTAGCAAAGCAAAGGGAGCTATATATTTGCAGATAGCTTGAACTAAAGAAACAAAGAAGCTTTAGTCACCACTATTATCCCAATTTTCTGCAAAACTCCATCCAGTAGCCCTTTACTCTAAGAATGAGTTGATTGAGGTTTGGGTGTTCTGACAGCAGGGTGAGGCAGGCAATGGTTGCAGAGTAAGATAGGTGGACACTACACATTTTTTGGCCACTGGCCGTATTATCTCCCACTAGTGTGTCCTGCTTCACTTCCCAGCATAATATCCAACCCTCAAGGAAGAGTATCTGTTGGTTGGAATAAGATCTCAAGTGTATTTCTCCCTTCCAGGCATTCCAATTATTGAAAATCCAGGGACAATACATAGGTGCTTCCTCTCACCCCAGTGTCAAATAGGAAAAGAGCAGGTCCCCAAGAATGAAAGTCTTAGAGGTTTTATTTTTTTTTTTCTTTTTGGTCTTTAGATTGACATTAAATATGGAATTTACTACTGGTCATATCTTGAGTATCTGTACCAAGAATTATCGGAATTAGTTCATTCAGTGGTGGGTGCTTGGCACAGTGTTTAGGATGCAGCTTGGAATGCCCGCATCCCATAACAAAATGCTTGGATGCAAGTCCTGACACCACTTCCAATCCAGTTTCCTTGTAGTGTGAACCCTGGGAGGCAGTGGATTGTGACTCAAACACTTTGGTTCCTACTATCTACATGGGAGAACTGAATTGAATTTTGGGCTGTGAGCATTTGGGGAGTGAACCAGCATATGAAAGATTTCTCTCTCTTCTCCCTGAATAAAACAAGGAAATTAAAATGTAAAACAATTAGCTCATTCATATTTTTGAAGCTAGCCAATAAAAGAACTAGTTTTTGTATCCAAGAGTTTAGAAGAAATTATTATGAATAAAGAACTATTCGATATGGAATAGAGGCAGCCCTCCTGCTGCCTAAAAAAACAGGCATTTTTCAATGAAAAGGAAGTTAATATGGGAGATTTTCCTCCCTGTACCTGACAAAAGAGTTCTAAAACCATAAAGCAGATCTGTTGGTACCAAAGAGCAGTACCAGCCTCCCGGTGGCTGTCATCCCTTTGGACTACAGCCTCTAACATTGCAAAAGAAGCGGTTTGTCTCTCCGTGCCTTCTCATGGTGTACCTTTTCTGCCCCTTTGCACCTCTCTTTCCTGCCTCTGTTCAGGAATCTCAGACTTCTTACTCCTATAGGAAAATGTTCCTCCTTGTTTTCCTGTCTCCCTCTGTTTGGCAAATCAAATTACTAAACCCTTTGTGTTGGGAAAGACAACGCACAAACAGAAAAGGTTTCACAAGCAAAATGTATGATGTGCGGCAGCCTTGTAGTGTAGCTGGTTAAACTGCTGCCAGGGACAATGGCATCCCATAATGGAGTAGCAATTTGAGACCTGGCTGCTCCACTTCCATTTCAGTTCCCTGCTAACGTGCCTTGGAAGGCAGAAGATAACCTAAGTGCATGGGCCCCTGCCACCCACATAGGAGTTCCTGACACCAGGCTTCAGCCTGGCCCAGATGTGGCTGTTGCAGTCATTTGGGAGTGAACTAAAAGATGAAAGATCTGAAGTAGCAGATGAAAGATCTATCTATGTCTGTCTCTCCTGTTATCTCTCTGCCTAAATAAACAAATCTTTAAAAAAAAAAGTATGATGACTTATCACAAGGAAAATACTGATATCCCATCATGAAATGAGTTATTGAAAGAGCCCCTAAAGTTCTCTCTTGCCCCTCCCTGCAATCCAGATTTTCATAGAAATCAAGTCTTTTTTTTTATTTGCAGTTTAGCCTTCTAAATATCCATCAATAAACACAATGGATTAGGTTTTCTATAAATGGAATCCTACAGTTCGACCCTTTGTTGCTTGACCCTTAACATTACATTTGTGATATTCTTCCAGGCCTTTGCAGTACCTGTTCATGGTCCCTCTTCCTCTACTGTATGTAAATACCACAATGCATTTATTCATTCCACTACAGATAGACATCTAGACTGTTTCCAACTTCGACTATTATTTACACTGCTGTCACAGATATTTTGTACACTTCTCTTAGTGCACATGCATATGCATTTCTGCATGGTATATATGTAGAAGTGGCATTGTGAGGCCATGATATTTGCACACTTTTGTAGAGACTGCCCAGTTCCCAAATTGATTGTACCAGCTTTCATATCATCAGCAATGCCTAAGCTTAACCCAGTGCTTCACATCCTTGACAATGAATGTATTATTGGAATTTTCACGATAGACATTCTGATAAACACATGGTAATATCTTGTATTAGTCAACTTTTGGTTATTGTAACTAAAATTTCTTGGGAAGGAAGGAAAATATTTATTGCAGCTTATAGTTTGGAGGTCACAGTTCAGGATCAGTCACCTGCACAGACTGGTATCTGGCAGGAACTGGCAATGGCAGAGTGGATATACTTAGTTGATCTGTGAAAGCAAAGAGAGATGATAGGCTGAACTTGGCCTAAGTAACCAATATTCTTGTGCAGGTAAGCCCCAATCATCTAAAGACTTCCTACCAGGCCCACCTCTCAGACACAACAAGATCAAATCTCCATCTTTAGTCCATCAACCCTTAACATACGACTTCAGAATTTAAACATATACATGAGTTTGGGGAGCCAAGTCCTGTTCAACCCATAACATATCTCATTGTGGAATTTGATTTTTTAATTATTAATTAGGTAAAGCGCTTTTCCTTGTGATTATTTGTCATCTGGATGTCTTTTTATTAAGGACCAACTCAAGTTTCTTGTTGATTCTATTAGCCAGCTTCTCGTTATTACAGTGAAATATCTAAGGCAACTAAATTTGGTGTCCAAGATTAGGCTGGCCTCATTGTTTTGGCCATTGGTGTACCTGTTGGCAGAGTCTGGAGATGGCATAGGGCATCACAGGGCAAGAGACAGCAAGTATGTGTGTGTCCATGTCTGTGTGTCTCATAAAGTCACCAGGATTGAAATCATGGTGGGTCCCCCTAACAACCCAACCCATTTTAATCACATCCCGAAGAGTCCACTTCCAAGCATCATAATTGGATGAAGTTTCTACGCTGTTATCAACATGAGACTTTAGGAACCAAACCCCTGAACTCAAGGGAACAAATATTCACACCATATCCTCTG